TGAAGATAGGTGAGGAAAAGTGGGGGAGGGGCTGAGAAAACTTATGGGTGGTTTTTTTTATAAGCTTGTAAATACCATGTGAATGTTCACTCATGTCTATTATTGTCATTAAAAACAAAAGCACAAAAAATAGCAATACACACACGTTACAGGAAAAAAGTCACAGAAAATCAGAAGCGATGTCCAGAATTTCACCCAGCAATATTAACTGTTGTTAATATTCCAAAATAGTTCTCTCCAGAAAAACTTTGAAAAAATATGAAAGTAGTTTTAAATATGAATAAAACCTTACAGAAAAAATGTTATTTTTAAAAATTTATTTGAAAGGCAGAGTGACAGAGATAGAGGGAGAAACCTAGAGAGAGAGAAAGAGATCTTCCTTCTATTGTTTCACTCCACATGTGAGTGCAATGGCTGGGACTGAGCCAGGCAGAAGACAGGAGCCTGAAACTCCATCTGGGTCTCCCACATTGGTGGTAGGAACCCAATGCTGGTGTCCTATTCTGCTGTGACATTAGCAGGGAGCTAGATTGGAAGCAGAGCAGCTGAAACTCCAGCTGGATTTCTGACAGGAATGCCAGGATCACAGGTGTGTGCCACAATGCCAGCTCCTGAAAATTCTTGATATCTTAACACTATCAACACAGAAAAAAGTATTTCCTTGGGATTAATCTTTTTGATAAAATCAACTTTTCTGATCAAAATGTTTGGCATCATTTGAGTTATATTTCCACCAACAGCACAGTTGAGAATTAAGGCACTTTTGAAAAATACTTTAATTATCTTGTTACTTTAGAAAGAAGCAGCTTTGGGTTTTGATTTTCAAGTAACTGGCTCTATTTAGAAGTTTAAGAATTCTTGGTATTGTGGTGGAATGGGTACAGCTGGTGCCTGTGACGCCGGCATCCCACCAGGGAACTGGTTCGTGTCCCAGTTACTTCACTTTCCATCCAGCTCCCTGCTGATGGCCTGGGAGAGCAGTGGAAGGTGGCACAGGTCCTTGGGCACCTGCACCTGTGTGGAAGACTCGGAAGAAGCTCCTGGCTTCTGGCTTCAGTCTGGCCCAGTCTTGGCTGTTGCGGCCATTTGGGGAGTGACCCAGCAGATGGAAGATCTCTGTCTCTTTCTCTCTCTTTCTTGCCCTCTCTCTCTGTAACTCTGACTTTCAAACAAATAAATAAATCATTAAGAAAGGGAAGAATTCCGAAAACAAATTCATCAGGAACATTTGTAGCTTTTGTAGTTTTTCTCTTTTTAATTGTGGATGAATATTTCTCTGAACTTTTCTTGAACTGCTTCAATGAACAAAAATATAAAAGTACAATTCAGCCTTGATACTTCATATTTAAAATGCAGATAAACTTCAAAAATATAGAATTTGAAGGAAGCATTCTTAAAAAGAGAAAAAGGGGATATTGCTAAAACAAAGTTAAGAAAAATTAAGGATTTAAATGTGAATAATGAAATGGATGTGCTTCAAGAAATTAAACGCCATTAAAGTTTTCAAAAATATAGTTTATAAACCCTTTAACCTTCCAAGATCTCTGAGTGCTAATTAAAAGTTTCAACATTCAATTACTATTTATTGAATTCCTCTCATACCTCAGACCTTTCCTTGAAATAGTCCCTTATATTCTGTTTAATTTCAGAACAATAGGGCTTACTTAGTGAGGTATTTGTAGAGAGGCCTGCTACGAAGGAATGTAGTGGGATATAGTAGAGTGTGGTGGATTTCTGAGGGGTTCCTGGCCTTGGTTACTGCTGCTGGTGGTAGAGAATTATGCCCATGAAAGATAATGACGGTGCATTTATCAGGACAGAACAGAGCAACTGCCAGCCACCAGACAAGCACAGGAGAGTGCCGTGGGAGGTAGTCCTGATGCAGAGTCCTGAGGTGAGAGCTGTGCTTTCTGGGCTGACCTCATGAATGTCCACACATGACCATCTGGCCCACAGAGTTATGAAACAGCTGTGTGTGTGGGAGGCAGCTATAGGACAAAACAAAGTTTTCAGGTACCGTGCACATTATGAAGCAACTATGATGAAACAGACTGTGGTCAAAGAGCACTGGTGTTCTGGTATGCCTGGAGAATCTTGGGAGGAAAAGGGGAACAGGCCCTTGGGGCCAGTCAGATCTCCCTCCCTGCCTGCCTGCAGGCTTCTGTTCCTGCTTATGGCAGGAATAGGGTTTGTCTTCTCCAGGTCGGTCTGAGGTCCTTTTGCCACCACGCGGGTCTTCAGAGGTAACTGTGAATCAGTATTTCTGTCTAGCAGATGAATAAATTGCACTTCTCAGAGGCATGGAGAGCTAAAGTCGGGCTGCTCTAATACACGGACAGAATTCCAGGTTCTGATTTCAGTTCTACTGCTTGCCTCTGAAAGTGGGCAGGTTGTGTGAGGGTTTCTGTGTGTGTATCCTGTGGTCCATATATGCAGCAGATATGTGTATATTTGTGTGCATGTTTTATATAAGGTCAAATATGTCAGCCCTGGATATTTATGGATATTTCTTTTTTTTTTAAGATTTATTTTATTTATTTGAAGACAGAGTTAGAGAGAGAGGTACAGCCAGAGAGAGAGAGAGGTCTTCCAGACACTGGTTCACTTCCCAATTGGCCACAATGTTCTGAGCTGAGCTGAGCTGAGCTGATCTGAAGCCAGGAGCCAGGAACTTCTTCCAGGTCTCCCACACGGGTGCCGGGGCCCAAGAACTTGGGCCATCTTCTGCTTTCCCATGCAATCAGCTGGAAGTTGGATCAGAAGTAGAGCAGTGGGGACTTGAACCCACGCACATATGGGATACCAGTGATACAGGCCAGGGCTTTAACCCACTGAGTCTCAGCGCTGGCTCGTGGATATTTCTTGCAAATAACTGTCCTGCATTATTAATGGTGGTGTTTACAAGTTATTTATTTAGAACTTATCTCTTTCCCAAAAAAAAAAAAAGCCTTGTGATTGCTCTTCGCTAATTATAATTGCCTAAAAAAAATACCTTTTCATTATTTTTATTCCATTCAATGCAAGCTGCTCCATCCAGAACCCCTGATAGCTTTTCGAGTCTGTATGTAACAGGTCGGAAGGTGTATTTCGTTTCAAACTTTATGTGCTGGGCATTTTGGGACTCAGCCAGCTCCAAAAAATTTCCAAGTCCCACTTTCACACCCCGACAGCAGAGGGTGATTTTCCGGGATTCCGGACAACGCTGCTCCAGAGAGAGAACACGCCTCTTTCACACACGCCCCCTACCCAGTATGGAACGCACCTGCAGCCCCAAACGGGAACGGGGCGGGGCTCGACTTTGGCCATGTCAGACGTGGCAGGAAAAGTCAGCAGTCGCCCTTTCATCTCGTTTCTGATGATCACACCAGGCAGTGCTTCTATACAGTATTTGGGCATTTAGAGAAGAATGTAAATTCGTGATCTAAAAAGATTTTTGGTTACGTGGCGAGCCCAGGTACTGACGGGTGCGGGGGCTGACTCTCACAGCTCTCCCCACGCGTGAGCTTGCTGAAGGAAAGTCCGGGGGCCGCACGCTGTACCCCAGGAGAGGGTAATCTTCCAGGAGTCCACCGCACACCACCTCGAGTGTTCGCGATTTCGAGCCCTTTCCGGAACTCAAGTTCCAGCACCCGAAGGTCGGCCCCGCAGCCCCGCCCACTTTGGCCGGGGGTCGGAGCCGCGCGGAGCCGGAGCCGGAGCCCGAGCCCGAGCGGCCGCGGTCCCTTTAAGGAGCCGCTCTGCGGTAACCCGAGCCCGCAGTCCGGGCGGGCGCGGCGGCCGCGGCGGTAGCTGAATCCTCAGCCACTGCTCCTCCAAGCGGCCCGGAGCCCGCGGCTTCCCTGGCTCCCGCGAGCATCTCGTGGGGGTGGTTCTGGCCGGCGCCAGCCCTCGGGCCGGGCTGGATGACCAGGCGCCTGTAACCACCCGCCGCCCTTACCCGGCCAGGCGCAGCCGCCGCCCGGGCGCGACTCGCCCGGGGACCCTGCACAGGTGACGCCTTTTGCCCAGGGGCTTGGGGAGGAGGGCGGGCTGGCTATGCCCCAAGGTTCCCCAGCGCCTCAGAGCGCAGCCCGGCTGGAAGGGGCGCCGCGGCTTCCCGCCCCCGGCCTAGCGCGGCCGAGGGCTCCCGCTCCTGGAGGCTGGGTGGGCGTCCCGCACGCGGGTGTCGGCCCGGCTCCGGGGCGGGCTCCAGCAGGTGTGCGTGGCGGGCGCAGCATCCTCCCTGCCCGGCGGGCCCCAGCTGTGCTCCCGGAGCAGGTGGTGTCCCGGGCCCGAGGCCCCCGCGTTCCACTCGCGTTTCCCGGCTGCGCGATTGAGCTGTCCTGTCTGGCAGCATCTCGCGGGTCTGAGCTCAAACGGGGTGGGTGCAAGCCTTTGGGCGTCCAGGGAGCGCATTCTTGTTAAGAGACCCGCACACCATCCGGCGCATCAAGTGGGTAAGTCCCCTTCCCCCGCGCCGCTGCCCTCTCAAACAAGTGGCTTTTATTTACCCTTGCAGTTCTCAAGTGGGTCCCATTTTTAGCTATCGAGTGCTGGAGTCTAGTGGGAAAGGGTTTGGGCGAAGAGTCAGGGAGAAATCGGTTTCTATTTCCAGCTCTACCATTGTCACCCCTGGCAAGTTTATGAAACTCAGTGCCTCCGTGTACCCCGCCATGAAATGGGCTGCGTGATGTCAGCGTTTTCCTACTGCCCCCTAAACGAGAGGACAACCTCTGTGGCAGCGTTGTGCGTTGACCAAGTTTATTTCAGAGACACTGGCTGCTCTACATTTTCTTGATGGTACATGCTGGAGTGTTGTGGCACGTTGTGGCGCGTTATGAAATTACAGAGTGATCCTTGACTCTGTAGAAGCTAATCCAGATTCCAGTTTGGGGACGGGATGGAAGAATCTGTGTGGATGTTAACGACTGACGTGCCAAGTAAGAAAACAGTGGTCATTTTCGTGAAGTCTTGTGGAGACAAATGGCCCTTGGGTGGTGGTGGTTTCAAGCCGGAGGCTGCTGTGGGAGCACCTGGTATAAATTGGAGTGCAGCTTCACTTTAGTGTAGCCAGTTACCAGACCCTTGTTCCCTTTGCAGTGTGCTGTGTATCAGGTGGAGAACTTGCTCCCCACACCTCTCCTTGTGAGTGCTTGCATTTTCCTTCAATTGTATGGGTGGCACAGAGTTAGAAACATGTACTCCTACCATCTTGGAAAATTTGAAAGAATGGCTGCAGGGACCTTGGGTTTTAGCGAATTTGTCACCCCGCTCCGTGATTCAGAAAATAGCTTTGAGAGTGTTTTGTTTTCCCTGCTCCTGCAACTCCAGAGTGGGGACCTTTCCCGTGTGATCTTGCGTGAGGTTTACCTGTCTTGGCTGGATGCCTGGGATCCAGCTGCTCAGTCAGTCATTCTTGTTTACACTATTAGCTTTCTGTTTCTGTTCATTTCCCTTTACACTCTCTTGACCCTGGTGGAAGGACTAACAGCTTTTTTGCTTCTAAAGCCACGTGCTTGGTGGTGACTGGGAATGGCCGAACCTGGGTGGGAAACTCTGAGTTTGCCGAATCTTCGTTGAGGTCTGTGGAATAGACCCTCCAGGAGCATGCAAGTCACTCTGTCATCTTCCTTTTTTTGAGATCTCCATTGGAGGAAGAGTCATTTGATTACCAGGGAAGTCTTTGGAGCTGGAGGTGAGCTGTCAGAAACCTAGCTCAGTGCTAGGCTGATTAAGAGCATTTCCTGCAAAGGTGTGGAGAGGAGACAGTATGGGTTTGGAGAAGTGGAGAGTTGGCAGGGAGGGGATGTGGGGGTCCCTTCCTGTTGCTAGATAACAAGCAAAACTGTAAGGGGAACCCTGGATCCCTGAATGGAAAAGGGGGAACAGGATGGGTTGCAAAAAGGGAGTGGAGGGCTGGCGCCATGGCTCACTAGGCTAATCCTCCGCCTGCGGCGCTGGCACACCGGGTTCTAGTCCCGGTCAGGGCGCCGGATTCTGTCCCGGTTGCTCCTCTTCCTGTCATGCTCTCTGCTGTGGCCCGGGAGTGCAGTGGAGGATGGCCCAAGTGTTTGGGCCCTGCACCCCATGGGAGACCAGGAGAAGCACCTGGCTCCTGGCTTCGGATCAGCACCGGCTGCAGCGGCCATTGGGGGGTGAACCAACGGAAAAGGAAGACCTTTCTCTCTGTCTCTCTCTCTCTCACTGTCCACTCTTGCTTGTCAGAACAAAAAAAAAAAAAAAAAAAAAAAAAAGGAAGAAAAGAAAGGGGGGTGGGGGAGTGGTGCAACTTCAGGGCAAATCCTGCAGTGTGGTGGTGTTGGATCAAACCTTCTCTTCCTTTCTGTCTGATTGTTCCTTGCCCCTCATGGCCAACCACAGTTGCCTTGCAGTTAACAGAGCTGCCTGCCTCCAGAGCTCCCAGGGCTTATCTTCCTCTCCCAAAGCTGGCCTCACCTTTGTTACAGGAAACCCTTCAGACCCCAATCCAAACAAACATCCCATATCCTACAGATTAAGAGCTCCTGTAAGCTCCAGGAGCTCTTGGAAGGTTAAAAAGTGAGATACTCAGTTGGCTGAGAAGAGGAGAGCCAACAGTCTACACTGAGATACAGAAAACTGTGGTTTTTCTGTTGTGGAAGATAATGAATGGATTGTGTGGGGGAGGACTGTGGGCACTTGGACAAGGGAGGGCAGGCCTGAGGCTCGCGTTGTGCTGGACAGCTTGTGCCCCTGTCCTTGAGAGAGGAGAGGATGCCACCCAGGGTGTGCAGCCACCTTCTTGCACTTTCCCCCCTTCCCTTTGGCTTGTGAGGGGAAGATAGCCTGATGGAGGCGGGGTAGCCATCTGTTCTCGAGGATGGGAAACAGACTTTAACTGATAGGGATGAGCTGTATTTACCTGGCACCGGCATCAGCCTCTGGGGTGTTACACCAGAGAACGCATTTCATGAAAGTGAGGCTAATTTTGTAAGAGAATTGACTTTTGGTGGCATTTTTTTTTTCTTGTTGGGGATGAAAGATAGCACACAAAGAAATGGAGTCCCACTGTTCTGAGGCTTGTTATTCTTGGTCAGACAGTTAGATGTGCCGATCCCAAGCCTGAGAAGGCAGGGCAAGGCAGGGCTAGCAAAGGGTGTTTCTTTGCTCAGAGCATTGGGCTGTCAAAGGAGAAGGCAGTCCTCTGGATGCCCGAGGAGGAGCTTGTGAATCAGTGCAAAACACCAAGGTTTTTTTGAAAATAGCCGATGGAGAAGACAGCTGGAAGTCTGTTCAGAGCCCGAGCCTGCATGGAGGAAAGGAGTTGCTGAACAATGGGACCAGTATCTTGGGAGAGTTTGACTAGATGAACAAAAGCTTGTCTAAAGCAGTGTTTTCAAATATTTATGGGTTACAACAGGGCGAAATGCACTTTTACACTGAGACCCAGGAAATAAGTAAGTATGTGTGTATCTAAAGCAAGTTTCTATTTCTATTCTATTTCTATTTTGTGTTCTGAAAAACTCTTAACCTATCAGTGGATCACGGTCCACTGTTTGGGATTCTTTATCTAGTGTGTGAAAAAATAGTTTGTAGAGCAGCAGGCTGGACAAGGCATTGGAGCTGCTTGTGGAGGAGGGAGGGGCATAGAATTAATTGTAAGCTGTCTTGGTGGGGACAGAATGGAGCTGTAGGAACTCATTTGGTGTCTGATGGAAGAAGGACTCACTAGATGAAAGACAGCTAGACGGGGCAGATGCAAAAAAGAAAAAAAAATCTACCCACCAGTTCTATCTACTTCAAAGTGGTTTAAGCAAAGGGGAAGTGTGGAAGCTGTGAACTTGGATTTGAAGGTTTCTGTGGAGCAGATTTTCCTTTGTAGTTCAAATGAGAAGACAAATGGATGCAGAATAAATTGGCTGGTGGATGTAGGTCACGTCCGCTTTCGTAGGCTGGACAAGGAGCAGAGGCTCATGGTGCAGAATACTCATATCTCCTCTTCCAGCTTGTAGAAATTTGAGCAGAAGTGGATGAAAAATGTTCCTTTGAAACCCCATTTGCTGATCAAACTCACTAGGAAGTTGGCCACTGGCCTTGCAGAAAATTGGGAACGTATTGGCATTCCGTTTTATAAAAGGATTAGGCTATCAAGGCTTCCTCACAACTTCTACTTCATCATCTACCATCAAACTCTGGCTTCTTGAGGAAACAGGGGAAGCAGCAGCTTGCATGTATGAGCCAATTCCAGTTGGTGCCCTGCAGCTGATCAATGGCAGAGTCTATCTCTAGGCTTTTGTTTCCTTTTCCTAACAATTAACATCTGTCTCTAACACCTAACAAGTAAAACAAAGCCTGGAGAAAAAATACACAGGTATCAGAGTTCACCCAAGGCGTTGCTTGGTTACTGCTTGCTTCTATCATTGACATTCGACCTGGTTAGAGCCTCCCTTTGACCCATCGAGGCCTTGTCTGGTTTTGTTACTTCAATGGATATTTTTTCCAGTATTTGACTTCACTCTTCCTCACCTGTCATGTGTTTATTTTCAACTCCGATTTCTCTGTTATCTCAGACCTTTGATGAGGTGAGAGATATTCCTAGGGAGCCCAATTCTGGGACTTGGAAAAATTGTCTTAGTCAAGTTAACTATTTGTTTTAATCTATTTGAGAAGCAGAAAGACAGTGACGGAGCTCTTCTGTTCTTTGGTTCACTCCCCAGATGTCTGCAACATCAAGGACTGGGAAACCAGGAACCAGAAACTCGATTCTGGTCCCCCACATGGGTGGCAGGTACCCAAAGTACTTGAGCCATCAACTACTGCCTCCCAGTAGCTGGATCAGAAGTAGGGGTGGTACTGGAAGCTGGGCACTTTGATAAGGCATGCTGGTGTCTCAAGTGCTGCTCCAAATGCCCACCCCCATCAAGTTATTTTATCTAGTTTTATTCAAATAGGCTTGAAAAACCTTTAAAAAGTGTATTTTGAAGGCATGGAAAATTTCTTCCTATTTGATATGTATTTATTTAATGGAATGGGAGGAAGAAGAAATTTTCATTGGATGAAAGATTTTGAACAGATTTGAAAGTTCCCTAAGGGGAGCCTTGCACTAAAAAAGTCTAACATTTCAGGGACATGAGTCTTTTTTTTTCTTTAAAGATTGATTTATTTATTTGAAAGTTACAGTTACACAGAGAGAGGAGAGGCAGAGAGAGAGAGAGAGGTCTTCCATCCAATGGAACTGCACCAATCTGAAGCCAGGAGTCAGGAGCTTCTTCCGGGTCACCCATGCAGGTGCAGGGGCCCAAGGACTTGGGCCATCTTCTACTGCTTTCCCAGGCCATAGCAGAGAGCTGGATCGGAAGAGGAGCAGCTGAGTCTGGAACCGGTGCCCATATGGGCAGGCCAGGGTGTAAACCTGTTGCTCCACTTCTGGCCCTGGGGACAGGGGAATCTTAAAACTAGTCTTGGCCACTTAACATGTTTTGCTCTAATATATATATGTATATATATATAAAATATTAGATGATTATTGAATTTAAATTAAATGCTTTATAATTTGTTCTGTGCTATTTCAAGGACTTTTTTTTTTTTAAAGATTTATGTATTTATTTGAAAATCAGAATTACAGAGAGAGAGAGAAGGGGAGACAGAGAGAGAGAGAGAGAGAGGTCTTCCTCTCTACATCCACTGGTTCACTCCCCAGTTGGCTGCAACAGCAGGAGCTGTGCTGATCCGAAGCCAGGAGCTTCCTCTGCATCTTCCCATGCGGGTGCAGGAGCCCGAGGACTTGGGCCATCTTCCACTGCCTTCCCAGGCCATAGCAGAGAGCTAGATCAGAAGTGGAGTAGCCAGGACTTGAACCAGCACCCATATAGGATGCCAGCACTGAAGGCGGTAGCTTTAACTGCTATGCCACAGTACTGGCCCCTCAAGGACTTTTAAAAGACTACAGCTATGTTTACATTGAGTAAGATTCCTTGCCTTTTCCTATTTTTCAAACCTGAATGGGCACTACTAAACAAATCAACTTCTTACATGCTTTTCACAAAGTGAAGGAATCCAGGACTAGGCAAAGGTACTAGTGGGGAGACCAGGAGTGGGGCCTGGAGCAGAGGCAGCCTAAATATTTTGGCCACCATCCAAGTCATGTCTCCGAACCAAGCCCTTTATGATGGTCTACATTTTGAGGGCTTGAGAATGCTTTGGAGCCTCAAGTCCCTAAGTGTTTTATTTAGTGCTTTGTTTATTACCAAAGTGAAAACAGCTCATTATAAAAGACATTACAGAGAAGCAACACTCAAGAGAATGGGGAACAAACTTGCTTCTTCTGCATTCTGTGGATCCTCCTTGCCCATGCTTGGCTCCCAAACACAGCCCAGTACCAGTTTTTGGTTTAGAGCCCTCCAGAGGTGTTTCTCCACAAATGCCAAGATGTGCCCACTCATTTACTGATGAAAAATGTGTCATTTTGCAGCCTGCCTTCCAGATCACTTTGTTCGTTTAAATGTCTGCACTATCTGACAGTCTCCCTGTTGTCAGTGTATTTAACCCTTCCCCTGTCGACAGAACCTAAGTGACTTTTGGTGCTGAAGCGTCAAACACGCTTGTACATGCATCTTTTCAGACTTGTGTTAAAGTTATGTTGAGGCTGAAAGATCAGTTCACTAGTATGCGCCTTATTTTATGAGTCAAGTAACATAGTGCTCTCAAATTCTGCTC